TTCCCTGTTGGGTTAATATAAGTCTTGTGTTTAAACAGTGATACTCCATTAGAGTAGTCAGACAAGTCTCTCTGCAGGAATTGGAGTAAAACAAGGTAGTGTTTCGGTTTTCCTGTTATTTTATTCCAGACTTCAAATTAGATTTGTTACTGGTGATCATACCGGTGTTGTACATGCCCAGATTTTTTCCTTCTGTTCTTTCAAATGTTGCAGCTGCCATATGGGGAAGAAGCAAAAGATGTGACCTCAGATTGAAGGCATTGCCACAACTTTATTTTTATCACTCCCACTCAGAGGTTATGTTAATGTTTTTGGAAGGTCTGTATGAATTTTGGATGAGGGGGAAGGCAAGGCAAGGCAGTATTTAATATCATTATGGAAAGTGCCATAGGGGCTCTGCTGCTTGAACTACACAAGTAGGAAAGGGAATAAGGATGATGATAACAGTAGTATAGAGAATGCACATCAGGATTTTCTGCTTCCTTTCTTTGTAATATAAGAATATTATACCTTTGAAACAATGAAAAGGGCTTGTTCAGAAACACTGAAGTAATATGCACCTATAGATTTCATTGAAACGTGTATATCATTCCCATTTAAAGAAAAACCAACACCAACCAACTACGCAATAAACTTGAAATGCACTTAAAAGTTTAAGCTTCAGAGCATCTGCTGATTTTTTTTTTTTTAGGTATCAGAAATTAAAAGGAAACATCCATAGTGTTGTTTTCTTATCCCTTACCTGTCTGGCACTTTGTTTAATTATGTGTTTCTTCAAATTAGTTTGTAGGAGCCTTGCCGGAGACAGATTTGTGGACAAGATAAAACTAAAACACTAGACTGGAAAACTTGTTTTTGGCCTTTGGTCAAAAAAAACCCTGAGACCTTATGTCTGGTCACAGTGGTGTTTCAGATTTTTTAAGTTCCAGATCTGCCTTCCATTTTTGCACAAAAGCAGAGCATGAACCACAGTTGGTTTTGATCTGCAAATGTGATGGCATATCCTCTT